GCGAAATGTGAGCGTCATTTGTCAAACGTGATATTAATGGGTAATCAAATGGTCCACTAGTGAAATTAGTGAATAATTTTACTTGCTTTTTGTTCAAGTGCTAACAATTTCCCGAGCCTTCGAACTGGACTAATTTCAAAGCGAAGGCGTCAGAACAAGTGTCAGAAATTTATCTGTAAATAAAAATGACGGGAAATAGACTATATAGGAAACAGTATTTCGAAAAAATATGGAACACTTTCCTTTCAATGGAACTTATTTTACAAAATGAATTCCACCGACCATATATAGGGGACCATATATTTTGAATAGTATTAACCTCTAGCGATGAAAGGTAATACCCACCGAAGGATTGGGTGATAAACCGTTTTTATCCTGACTTCCCACAGTCTTTTTCAAAACAGTATCTGTAAATACTCTGTAAATGATCAACAGTCTTAACATATATTAACACATTTCTGTTCATACCTTTCTTCGTTTCGCAAACTCGTCCGCGATCAATTTACATCGGAAAGCTCTCTCTTCCTCAGACGCCCCGCCTTCGCTTTCTCCTTCTTCATCATCATAAAATCTGAAAATATCAAAGCAGCAAAAGAAAAAAATGGGTTTTCTATTAATCAACTTTAAGGGACATGACAGGGTTCGTTCGTCTTGGAAACCCTCGAAAATCCTTGAATTCTAAGAATCCGATTTCAAGACCTTGAAAGTTTTTGAAACTTTTTCAGGAAAATGAAATTTTTCGAGGACTTTCAGTTGGTACTATTCGTTGACCAATATCTTACACCAAAAAATTTGGAATATTTCCTGAGTTTTAATTTTGGCTTCTACGCAAGAAGAGAAAGGGTAAATAAAACAATAAACTTACTTGGTATCATATCCCCACTTTCCTCCTCCATACAGGTCGCCATCCTCCCCGCTGGATGCTGAATGTGCAATGTAGGTCCTTCCCGCAGTCACGCTCCTGTTGGCACCCGCCATCACTCCTCGCCTCCAATGTTCCACAAGTTCATCAACTGTGTCTGGATCTTTACAGTAATCGCAGCCTTTGTTGCACTATAAAAATGGAATGGCCTTATTTTTTACCGACGTAACGGGAAGACATTTAAGCTACATGTCGCCTGAGAGCAACCTCTCTGGGGAGCTATGGAGGGGGGGGGGGGGGGGGGGGGCCCCCCCCCCCCGGCCCCCAAAAAGGCGTATATTTGTGGGGGCCAGCTAAAGTTTTTTTTTTTTTGTTTTTTGAGTAAAAAAAACAAGATTACCTTACATTTGCTGTCATTGTTTGTGCTGTTTTAATGTAACGCGCCTCTTTGTTTAACAAAAAAAAGTGGATGGGACTTTTTTTTCCGCCACCAGCGGAGAAGAGATTATACGTACATGGCCCGGGGGAACACCCCTGGGGGGGGGGGGGGGGGGGGGGGGGGGGGGGGAAGTCCCTCGCCCCCAGAGCTCCTAAAAGAGCTTCATGATTGCAGGCTAAGCTAAGTGTTTCTTTTTGTGTTTTGTGAGATAATCACAAGAGACAGCTTTTTGAGCCACATTCACACTGAAAAAAAAAAAGCAACACCGTACAAGTAGCTCCTTAAGTGCCGAACATTAGTAGAGAAAAATTGAACACTGCCATTTATGTGCGATTTAAGTGGACGAAACTGCAATTTTACACAATGTTTATCTTTATCTGGTGTGATTGGGTCTATCTATGAATGTTTCCTAGCCTTAGCAGTTTGTCATATAATCTAACATTCGCCCTGCAGGCAGCGTCTTTCAACATTAGGATGAAACAGGAGGCACTCATTCGAGAGGAGCGGTCTCTTAGAAAATCCCTAGATGTGAACAGGCATGTATCAATGATTTTGGTCACGCGATTGGTAAAGGCGGGGTCGGGGCGATAATCCGAAGCAGTAAAGTAAAAGTGGATTTCCACTGTCGCGTAATTTCTACGTGCGTACGCGCGTTAAGGTAAAAGTTGAACTGCCACAGTAGAAATCCACCTTTAATCGAGGATTTACGATACTACTAGCAGTTTCGAACAAGTTCCGAGAATTGTACATGTGTGTACCTTCGGCTCACTGTCTCCAAAATATGAAGCTATCACGGAATGTCTGCAGCTACGAAAAATAGTAAACATAAAATGAATAAATGATGATTATTTCCTGTTGAATACACCAAATTCGGATAATTTTGTCACAGAAAAATAGTAAATAGTGAAAAATAAATTTAAAAAAAGCCAAATAGGAATTAATAGGTCATAATTATTTTTTTAGGTTTTAAAAATTCTTAAAGCAATAATTCATATCAGTATATAAAAGTAGGTTTTTACAGTACAGTACTGCACCTCCTTAGAGAATAGGTTTGAAATGGCAGCGACGGTTTTAAAGAATTGCGTGCTGGGTTCAAGATATTTCACGTAGATATCTGGGCCGGGTTGTTGAACCCTGGGTGTTAGGGCGACGTTTAAAGGAAGACATAGCCTTTAATTTATAGATCCTACTTTTTCACACTTACCGTGGCTGCTCACAGTATTTGACAATCGCCTCGTAGCTGGATTGAACCGCCTCATTCTTTTTTTTCGTATTCGTTGCCTTTTAAAAACAAAACAAGCAGACTAAAACTACATTTGCACGAAAGGGAGTTTTTTCCGGATTCTACTTTGAGGGAGTCCATTTTGCATCCCCCCTCATGTGAGGTAAGTAACGCGGGCGTACAAAACGGCAAGTCCGCAAAACAGGCTCTATTTTTTCGCTTTTTTTTGGCGAAAAAGCACAAAGGGGCGTGGAGACTGTACCTTCTTTTATTTATACATACTGAGATGTATTCTCGATGAAAGGCTACGTCGAATGAGTTCTAGCCAATCAGAGGAGCGAACGATGTTTTTCACACGTGAAAAAAAAAAGGATACGACCAATCAGAAGCGCGAACGATATTTCTTCATGTGTGAGAGAAATGATACGTCCAATGAAAAGCCAAAGCGATGTGTGAGTTTCGCGCCAAAATTCTTGCCTTTTACATGTACAGGCTACGCAGGATTTCGCACACATTCAACGAGAAAATTTGTATGTTGAGGCCATAAAGCAGAGTTTTAATCGTAGAAAAGTGAAAAGTGAAACATCTTGCAAACTGAAGTGGAATAGTCTCGTATATTTTACTGTCAATAAAATAAATGTAGAGAGCCGGCAAAACAACAGCAGAAGGGGAAAAACAGAAGGAGACGCAAACTGGCAAGAGCAAGGATGGAAATTTTACCTTTTACTTGTGCTTGCAGTTGTGCTTACGTCCATGCACGGATTATGTCTATACTCTATATGCTATACTGTCATTACTGTACCTTCTTCTCCTTGATTCCTTTTTTAATCAGAAAAAATACTTGATCCCTTTCAAGTCTATAATACCAAATACATCAAAATGGCATTCAGAACTTAATAGGTGACAACAACAACAACAACAACAACAACAACAACAAACAACAAAAAACATTTATTACCGTCTTTTACTTAATTCCAATTTCTCGGCACGCAGTTAGCCAAAACGCTGGTCGTGACGCACCAAATTGATTAAGTAAAAGATCACAACAGATATTACAAATAATAAATAAAAAGCAAGGAGGAAAAGCGAAGAAAGAAAATGGGTAAACTAATTACGTGAAAAACAGGACGGACAAATCTTTGTGATGCAAGTTGTGAAGTGGCTCGCTCGCTATTTATAAAAAAAGCGCCCAGTTAGGTGATAGAGAAGGGGACTTAGATAGAGGATGTTCTTGACCACGGAGAATGTTGTTACTGCTGGGCTCATCCTAGCAGTATAAAGACCTAATTACCACAGAACACCAAAGAGAAAAATAAATACCGAGCTTGAAACAAGTCTCTCAGGAGTACAATTGATGTGAGCGACCGACCGCCTCCGGATTTTTATGGGTTCACATCTGTTCAGCAGTTCATTTTTCAAATCTTTCTTGTTTCATTACCAAAAATGACAATTATTTCGTCAAGAACCACTATTTAGTGTCAGCCAGTCGTAAAATATCGTCACTCCAAAGCCGGCAAACTATAGTTTTCAGCAAAAATTTATAGCACGAGCATG